TTCATTGTTTCCCCCCTCTTCTTCATCCCGTTCTTCAATTATGTCACACAAGCCTCACCATATTGATGATAATTTCTCTTATATAGTTAGAATATTAGTGAACATTCCATGTGATATACATCATTGCTGCTCATCCATTGTCTGGAGAATCTATCAATGCCAGCCCTTGGCATAGGTAAATTATTGTAGCCCATTAATTTCTATTGGAGAAGGCTGAACCCTCTAACTGTGGAATAACTGTTCAGTGATAGTTTCAGCAGTGATCACTATCCAGTGATAGTTTAAGCCTTTCATTTCTTCCTATACATTTCAGAATTTTTCAGTCATTAACTTGAAGTTGGTTGTTTAAAGAATGTGAACAAGTTTTGTATATAATTACTATCTTATGCATAAACGGCAAAAATCTGGTTTACCTAAGTGATCATTCGTACTGTTCGAGTAATGCTGAAAGTTATGTCTTATTAAAGGATTACTTGGTTGTTTGCATGTGCTCTCTTTTCCATTTTGATATATGATTGTCTTTTTGAGAAATAGCTACTGCAGGTATATAGTACAGTACCAACTAATCTCTATGAGGGCAATTAAATTGCCCTTGTACTTCATGTAATTACTATAGTTGTTCACAGAAATGAATTCCAACTCATTTTATTGCTTATTAGCACATAATATTTATTAACAAGAGATGTTAAAAGTGTGGCTAGCTCTTGTACATGTATATTTTGGGGGTTTTCATCCATTTTATTTTCATTTTCATTTTATTTCCTATGTGATATTGTTGAATTCCCATGGGACAAGCAAGGAATTGGTATACCTCTATAACTTATCAGGACCAACAGCTGGCAAGCACTTGTTGTTCTTTCCAGAGTTCCTTTCTGCAAATGAAAAGCCCTGCTTCTGATTTAGAATTAGGGATAAGAGACAAATTAGATCAGTTTATATTTTAATGTTAACCCACCTAATGTACATTTCCTGAATCAATACACAAAGCAATACACTCAGAACACAATGCAATAGAATCAAATATAGTTGCCCTTCACAATGTAGTTGTAAGGACAAAATGTCCAGATTTTGTGATCTGGTTCTCCCAGTAAAAAATGTCCACAGAAATGCATATATTAGAGGACACCGTATACAAAAATATATTAGTAAAAAGATTATAAAAAGCATAATGATATTGAAAATAGTATGCAAAAATGCATACAGCAGGCACAATTGCATATATACATACATACATATGAGTTTTCATGAAGATATATGAATTTTCATGTTGGAACTGAAACAGGGCTCCTCTCGAGAGTAAGCAAATGTGTTGGAGATGGTGATAGTAGTAGTAGTAGTAGTAGTAGTAGTAGTTGTTGTTGCTGTAAGCTTTTTTTTAAAAAATGTTTAAATAATGTTTCTTTTGTCCCAGACTATTTTCTGTTCCTGGCATGAATTGAAACATTTTATTCCTGCCTTCAAGTGGTTTTCTTTTTAATTCTAAGATAAATTGGAACAAAAAATTACATTCTTCTCTCCCTTTTTTTAGAGTTATAGTAAAATGGCACTTGTAAATTATAACAATAGGACTTTTAAAAATTCAAGCAGGAGAGCCCTTCAGATTATAAGATCATCTCAGCAAACCTCACCCCAGTTTTTAAAAAAAATTTTTGGACGAGCCCTAGTGCATATCCAAGCTATCCCTACCAACAGCCCCCGAGAAGAATGGAACAAAGTGAATGCAGAAGTGACAACAGTGGCCAAAACCCAAGGTTGTTTATCACTAGATATATCACTAGAATGGATACTTTTTTTAGACCTATCTGGAAGAAGATATACAGATTCATTGGTTACAGTTCTTTGTGGGGGAATAAAAAAATTTTCCTCCCATAAGACATTGTACAAAACTTGAATGAAGCCTCACAGTGTATTCTTCTAGCCTTAATTGACACTGCTGGATTTTCTTATGATAATATATCCATGATCCACCCTTACACATTTAAGCAAAATTACTTTACTGCATGAAACTTTCCAATTGGGATATATAGTTTTGATATACATATAACTTTGATATAAAGTTTTAAAAAAGCCAGTCTTGAGGACATTATCACACGGGAAAATCTGGGGATTCAAAAGGCATTATCCAGGGAAAATTGCGTGATCACGGCTAAGATTATCACACACATCATGACTAGAGAGGGCTTATCTCGGGAATAACCAGGGAATAACCAGCAACAAATCATTCATGGGATTTTTTCAAAAACTTACTTGAATCATATCCAGCAAAATAAAGACAATATTGAGATGACTACGGTCTTCAGCAACCACAGTTAGGCTTATACTAAATAGGAAAGGTGAGAAGGAAGGATGCCTTTCTTTGCAGTTGTTACATTAGTCACTGTTTTACAAACTTGGTGAATGGGGAAAGAGTGAGGAACTGGGGGCAAGATGCTGAATTTTTTAACGTTGTAGTGACTTGGTCAGATGTCATGCCCAACCAAAATCTAGCATGTTAAGAATGAGGAGCAGTCAATCTTGGGATTGTGAAATTCCCCCTTCTCTGGTGTGGTTGTAAGGCACTAGGAAATATTTACTTATTTTTTTCCTTCTTATCCGTAGCTTGTTGTGTTTCCAGAGTACAACTAATGGCAGAGAATGGTATTATCATTTGTTTGCAACAAGCCAACTTCAAGCCATGAGTTTTACAAGTTTGGTGAATGGGGAATGAGGTTGGCATTTTCCAAGAAAACAATTTGGCTTTACTCACAGTTTAGGGTTCTGGTAACAAGATAAATTAATTGAAATAAGAAACTAAACTAATTGAAATAAGAAATTAAACTTCCCACTCTTCCTATGATTGCACTAGAGGTGAGTAGTGGAGCAAGGGAGTGAGAGTCGAGTGCTTAGCAACTCCCAGTAGCACTAACCAGCATAGCCAATGGTGAGGAAGGCAGAGAGTTACAGTCCAACATCTGGTGTAAGGAAAGTTGATAATATTGTTTGAAATACACTGTGCTCAGTTGTAGTATTTTTTTTATTAAGTAAAAGGTAATATTCCTGACAATCTCTGCGTACAGTTTTGTGTTTGTTTTTTTCCACAGAGGCTTAAGTTTGCAAATGCATGCTTGTTTGTTAACCTTCCTTGGGGTCCTCTTCCATGGTTGAAGTCTGGCAGATTTCACTGGAACTGCACAGAGCAGAGAGATCTCTAGAAGGGAGTGTGAGAGCCAAAGGACAGTGTGAGCTGTCAAGGTAAAGAGTGTGAGGCTACTGTCAGAGGAGGTAAGAGCTGTTTGGAACAAAATACATGCCATGAGAGCTTAGTGTTTGATGCTCCCAGTGTAATTCAGTTGCAGCCCCAAAACCCTCCTGGAACTTAGAAAAATATTTTTTAGGAATACAATTCCCAGAATCCCACAGCCAGCATGGCCACTGTGCTTCTTGGCTGGAGGACTAGGTGTCCAAAAAATGACTTTTTCTCATTCTACACCTCTTTGCACCTGGATCATGACACACTTGACACTATTTGGTGCTGATCCAGGAGCGAGGAAGGGAAAGTTTATGTTGTTGTTGTTGTTGTTGTTGTTGTTGTTGTGTCTGCAAGTCATTTCCTACTTAAGCTATCATGGGGTTTTCTTGGCTAGATTTGTTCAGAGGAGGTTTGCCATTGCCTTCCCCAGAGGCTGAGAGCATGTGACTTGGCCAAGGTCACCCAGGGGGTTTCATGGCAGAACTGAGAATCATACTATGGTCTCCAGCGTCATAGTCCAACACCCAAATCATTACACCACACTGGCTCTCTAACAAAAAGAAAATTATGTTGGAAGATGTCATATGGGAAGAGAACTGGCCTGGGACTAACTTTTCCCACTGCTCTTTTTATCAGTCATCACTCTGAGTTCATGGTGGAGACAGAGAGCTTTGGTGTTCAGTTAAATAGGGCTTCTAAAAACGCAGTAGCAATATACAAGCTTGTTTTTAAGACTATTTGCTTTGAGGTTGTAGATAATAATAATAATAATAATAATAATAATTTATGAAAATCTAAGGGACTTTATGAAGTTTATGAAATTTAAGGGACTTGGGAAGACCCAAGTACTTTTGCTCTTAAGTCAGCTTTGTTGGATTGCAACTCTTGGATTGCCAAGAGAAATGGCTGCCTGGGAATGGTAATTGTGATCAAGCAGATTTGAATGAGTTTGCTCTAAGGTTCATGAAGATTTCTTTCTGTTGTTGCTGTTGTCTGCCTTCAAGTCAACTCTAATTTATGGCAACTGTGTCAGAGATTTTTTTTGTGGCAAGATTAATTCAAAGAAGGTTTGTCTTTGCCATCCTCTAAGGATGACAGAGTGTGGCTTGTCCAAGGTCAACCCGTGAGTTTTCATTGCTGGACAGGGATTTGAATCATGGTCTCTTGGAGTCCTAGTCTGACATTCAAACTACTATGCAATACTGGGTGTCTCTCTGCCATTAAGGAAATGGACATGAACCTTTAATGATCTTGTGCAGTGAAGACATAAAGTAGCACTGATGAACATTTTGGCTCTCTGAAAGTGCTGAGCATTTGGCTGAGCAAAAGAAAATTTGGCCAAATATCCCTAAAGTATTAACTTTACCAAAGTGACAAAAAAGTTACTTACCAATCTATTTTAACATTACATAAATGTCATAAAAGTAGCAGTTGTATTAGCTGGCTGTTAATTTTGAGATACCATTAAATTAGCTTTTTATAATTGCAATTAATTAGTAATAGTCTTCAGTAAAGGCTCCTGGCCAAGCTGGCTGGAGTTGGTGGAGCTTGTAGCCCCCCCCCCCCCCCCACTATTGGAAGCTAGAAGTTTGGGTTTTGTACTAAGGCTGTGGAGCTTGTTGTTGCTGTTGTGTGCATTCAAATCATTTCCAACATATGGCAAACCTACCATAGGGTTTTCTTTGCAAGATTTGTTCTGAAGGGGTTTGCCATTGCCTTCCTCTGAGGCTGAGAAAATGTGACTTGCACAAGGTCACCCACTGAGTTTCTATGGCCAAGCAGGGATTCAAACCCTGATCTCCTAGAGTCCTAGTCCAGCACACAAACCACTTTACCACACTGGCTCTCAGGGCTGTGCAGACCCAGGCTTAAATATTTTTATAAATATAACATAATATTTGGACCAGTGATACTTTTTTTGGGAAGCAGAAACTTACTAGTTTTCTGTTGCTAATGGAGTTGAAACTTTTATTTACTTTGTCCCTAGTCCCCACATTACCAAGAAGAGTGATAGCCTTTGCCTGCACTGAGATCCGTCCAAACCATCTTAACTGACAGCAGAAGTAACATCTGAGACAAAATGTAGGTCTGTCACTCTCACATTATCATTTTTCTTGTCCTGTATAATTTTAACAGCTTTGCCTGATGGAGAAGTGAGTGAAACATTGAAAGCTTGCATGATGTATTTTGTGCATTTTGGCTGGCCAATAAAATTATCACTGTTTTGTGGATTTTTGATTTTGTATTTTGCTGCATGGCCAACATGTCTGTCTCTAAAAATGTTTGGACCAGTTACTATCTCTTTGACTAAATAGATGCTAAACCACTATGTTAAAGGGTGATTTGTGAAGACAAAGCTGGAGGAAGAATCATGTATGTACCACTCTAAGCTACTTGAATGACAGATGGATTGAAAAGTAATGAATAATAATAATAATAATAATAATAATAATAATAATAATAATAATTTATTTCCTGACACACACACACACCCGAAACATCTTTTTTATTTGCATATTAAGGGGTGCTGGCCAGGTCTGTGGGTGAATTTGTGGTCCTCCAGATACTGTTAGACTACAGCTCCCACAATCCCCAACATTAGCTAGATGGAGTTGATGGGGGTTTGTAAAGCTGCAGATTCCCTACCCTTACTATCTAAAAAACCAAGTCTGCGCTTAATTGAACACATTTTTGTACTTGTGTTGAGTGTTCAGTGTTAGAAAACCAGTACTGTTTTCTACATGCAAAGGAATTTTAAAGGTTACTGGAGCAAGATAGTTATGTTCAGAGTATAAAACAATGGTCTCTTTCTGCAGCTTTTTACAAGCATGAATAAAGTCCATGCTTCAACAGGCATCTTGTGTGTGTATGTGTGTGTGTGCTTTTCAGCTGGCAGTGAGATCTTACTTCAATATTTCATGTGTTTGCCGTGTGTGTTAAAAATTCGGAAGAGGTATTTATCAAGGGCATTAAATAAGGTTAAGCTTGATTGACTGTGTATCAGATGTACAAGTGTGATGCTGTAAAATATTGAAGCACAGATGCATTTTACCTTTTTCTCCCTCAATGGTTTGGATAATTTATATTAAATAGGAATAATTGTGAAGGAAATATTTGATTCGTATCTCATCTGTGTGGAAAAGTAGATTTTATGATGTTAAAAAAGACCTTTCAGAGTAGTGTAATCTGTATTAACTACCAGAAAAGATAAAAAATTAATTACTTGATGAAGATACTTTGAAATACCTTCTCCCCACAATTATAATTAAAGAATACTGTGAGAAACACAAGTTAGCTAATGTTTTTAAATACGATAGAGAAAGTCTATTACAGAAAAGTTAGAGGCAATGCAAATACAATGGAGGGACATCTCTTAACAATGTGCAGTTCTGCAGTCTGCTATTGATCTCTTAATCATGATTGAGAGATCCTTCCATTATGGCATAATGCAGACATAAAGATCAGACCATGATAGTAGTTTTAAAGATTGGGAGCATCACATGGCCTTATATGCTCTCTCTTCCCTATTGCCCAATGTCAGTCTTCCCCATGGTACCCCACTGTGATACTCTGCTTACCTCAAAGAGTAAATATGAGCTTCACTTGAGACTCATATTTGTGCATTTGTGCTAAAATGAACATCAGTGAACTTTAAATGGGAGTTTGTAATGTGGATTTTAAGGTGGTGAGCACTGATCTCAGGAAAAGGATAATGCTAGCTTGGAAGATGTATCCCATCAGATGTTTTAGGTTACATTTCCCACAACCTTTTACTGTTCAGAATGCTGGTTGAGGTTCCTGGGCATTGGAATTCGAAATATCTGGAGGTCTAACAGTTTTGCATACCTGCATCAGATGATACTTAACACTTAAAAGAAAAAGGAAGAGGGTATTGTTTTGTACGGGAGTACAGAGTGAGATATTCCTCACTGAGATGAGGAAATACATGTCTGCAAATTCTTTCTCAGACTGGAAAACAGTACCATAAGGTGATCCCAAGAACCAGCATAGAGTTCTCATTTAAATATTGAACTAGGATTGTGGCAAACCAGAGTTCAAGTCCCTGCTCAGCCAGGGAAACCCAGTGAGTCATACTCTCTCAGCCTCATAGGAGGGCAGTAGCAAGCTGCACCTGAATAAATCTTACCAAGAAAATCCAGTTACAGGGTTGCTATAACCAGCCTCAGCTTAAAGGCACATAAGAACAATAGTGGCGATCTCTCTGCTAATGTGAGAAGACTTGTCTTGTGCAAAACTTGGAAAAGTTACCTTTTGGGGCTGCAACTCCCAGCCAGTGTGACCTCTCTTGCAAATAGTAATTTTATATTCATTATTCAAAAGTAAAACATACTTTTTATTTGGAGGGTAGGTTTATTAGGACATATGGTTTGTGAAGTGTCTATTGTGCCAGGACATAAGAGGCCAGTCTCCAAGTTGAGGGTAATAAATGGCCACAACTTTATTGAGTAATATAAAGGTTGTAAATCCATCAACATCATGTCAATTACATAGCATCCATAAATCATGTCATAAATCAGAAAGCAGGTCATAAATCATGTCAGGTTGTGTACATAAATCATATAATTTAACATGCCATAAATCTTGCCATAAATAATTATGTCTGATGTGCAAGTCATAAATCTATCCTTGTCATAATAAATCAATCATATGTCATCATAAATCACTTAAATTGACAACCTGCTTGTGGATACCTTGATACAGGAGTCCACAGCGTCAACCCCACAATAGTTGTGACAGGACAGTAAGACTGGAAGATTTCCTAACTGGAATATACAAGATAAGAGGAGTACAGCACTAAATAGTCCTAGAAGCCTACCGAAAATCACAAATCACACAAAGCATACATATCCATGACTACAACTGTCAAAAACTCCAGGGAGGGGAAAAAAACTTATGCTCCAATAACTATGGCAACCAGCCTAAGCCTGAGGATACGGTAACCTAATAACATCATGCAAAATTGGGCGGGTGGGTTCAGACTCTCAGCAACCTGGCTTGGAATGGCTGCCGTCACATGCTCTGGGCCTTATATAAGCCAGGAAGGCCCCACCCCAAGTCTCACGAGATATGTGGCTCCCATGAGACTCGGAGTGAGATTTCGAGAGATCTTGCGAGATCTCCCGAATCCAGAAGTCTCATGGAGCCCCGCAAGACCTCCCCAAGGATTCTGGTGCTGGCCTCCAAATGTTGCCCGGCATAACGGGGACCCTTCCTTGAAGCGTTGGGGTAAGTCCTTCACATCCATACTCATCACTAGATGGTTGCATGCATTAAAAGATGTAATGCATACTTCACAGACCATTTGCTATGATTTTGAATCAGCCCCGGTGTAAATTTTCTCTTAGAGCAGTTCATACATTTATTTGCAAATCACTGACTGGTAAACATTTATGTGTGAATCATCCCTTGGTCTCACCCACCACAGTGGAGAAGTCAGGCATGCACTCCATGCATAATGTAAGACAGCTGCTAAGCTTCACCAGCTTTTCAAAACCCTTGAGGAAAAAACCCCAAGGCCAGATTAACGCAAGCTGGGCTATGTCAAGCTTAAAAGGCTTAAGAGTACAATTTATATGTAGGAACATGCAGCTTAAATCTCCAGCATCATTTGCTAAAGCCTCATGCCTGGGGAAGACCTCAGCTCCAGGCCGTGGAAAGCTGGTACTGGACTATAGGACAGGTAGACTGTAGGTTGTGGCTTGATAAAGTGCCATGTGTTCCTGGCCATCTCATCTCAGGGAGGAGATGAGGCAGTTCTGTGAGTTGTATTAAATATTACAGTGAGGCAGTGAGAAAGGCGCTGTTAGAGACTTGGGTCTAATCTGCACTGCAGAAATAATTCAGTTTGACACTGCTTTAACTGCTGTGGTTCCATGCCATGGAATCTTGGGATTTGTAGTTTGCTGTGGCACTAGAGTTCTTTGACAGAGAAGGCTAAATATCTTGCAAAACAACAAATTCCAGAATTCCATAGCATAGTATCAAACTGCATTAATTATAAAGTGCAGATTAGACCTTGGAACATCTGAAGAGGCTCCTGAACGATGCACAGTATTCAGGAGAAAACAGAGCTCAGAAGAATTACTTTTTTGACTGATAGTTTTCATAATTCTTCAGCCAGCATGGCTTTGGCTAAGGAACTCTGGGGTGTGGTTAAAAAAAGGTAACTTTTCCAGACTCAAGTATCTATGCAAGTAACTTGGAACTCTGGGGAGAGTAGAAAATATCACGTTGACATTTGTCTGAACTTAAAGGTCTTCATAAATCTCATTGTGTCGCTCCGAGAGGTGGGATGCACTTAAATAGATACACAAAATAATCCTGTTTTGAAGTTCAGACTAAGTTCACTGGTGTTCTTGCACCAGCATATCTTGTTTCTAAATGAGGAATAATTAGCAATAGAAACATACTGAGCTAGTCTTCCCCACTCCCCCAGAATGCCAAATTGTATGTTTTCACTTTGTCAGATTAATCAGTGATACAGGCAGCTGCGCTAGCTGCCTTGGTTGTTGTTGTTGCGGTTTTTTTTTTTTATCTTGAAGCATATTTATTCTTTGAACTTCTGACATTCTGAAGCTGGAATATCAAGCATACATAGATACATTTGGCATGCATTAAATGGTGTTGCTCTTCCCAGAATGGCATGCAGTCCAAATCATAAGCAGCTGTTTGCTCATATGACCACAGATAACCTTTCACCTTGGGGAGGAAATGGATATAAATACCCATCTGTAAAGAATGTACTTTTCACAAGGGCTTCAGATAATCTTTTCTCGGTGTTAATGTGCTAACAACTGGGAGAGCAGGCCAGTGACATGCTGAA